CATGATGGCACACGAACAATCTGGAATATGGGATTTAAAGGCACAATGTCACACATTTTTGACAATATTTTGGCCTAAATTATATATCTTGGTTCATATGCACTCACCTTAGCTTACTATTGATGCAGTATAAGACTTATTATCCCTTACACCTTGCCTGAAACCGATAATTGAAACTTTGAGGTGAACAGCTTCCAAACGAAGAATACTTGCCGTATACTAGTATATGGAATGTAAACAAGTACTCCATACATCTAAAACTGTCGCATGCGGTGTTGTCATTGTTTGCTTAACTGGTTCCAATACCATTTATGTGTAGGATATTTGTAAAGAGCGCTCCAAGGGACATAACTACAATGGGGTTCGCTTGAAATAACGTTAGGCTGGTAGAGGGTGCGAAAGTCAATTTAATGCAACGTTGAATTAATTCATTTGAACTTTATAGTTTAATATTGTACTCTATATAAATAATATTTTGGGAATAAATTATATGGTAGCTTCCCTGAGGGCTAATAGTTAGTATTATTGAGAGAAATGCATTATCTATTTTCAGAGAAGTGTTGTGTGATATTGTGGCTTTAAATGGCTGCAACAGATGTGTATAGAAACATGAGATTATCACATACAGTTATCACGCAACTTTGTTAGGGGATGTAAAACTTCATGAGGAACAATCGTTTTACTTAGCAAGCGTTGGTGAGCTAAATATACACAGCTTATTCCTAATGTAGCAGAGGGGGCCGGTGGGGTAGCCTAGTGGTGAAAGCGTTGGCTCATCATGCCGAAGACCCGGGTTCGAATCCCCACATGGGTAAAATGTGTGAAGCCCATTTCTGGTGTCCCCCGCCGTGATGTTGCTGGAATATTGCTAAAAGCGGCGTAAAACCAAACTCAGTCAATCAGTCAGTCATGTAGCAGGATGTAAATACTCTATTGTTTACTTTAATTAATCTCAAACTTTGGTAAATAAGTTTGTTTTCTGTTTGTTTGTTGTTTAACGCCGCACTAAACAATATTCCAGCTATTTGATGGCTGTCTGTCAATATTCAGGTCTGGACCAGACAATCCAGTCACTGACATCATGAGCATTGATTTGGGTTAGAACTGGTCTTCAGCAGCCAACCCTTTCCGTAAGAGGCAAATGACCCGTGATGATCTGGTCAGAATTGGTCTTCAGTAACCCATGCTTGCCCGGAGGCCCAAGCGCCGGTTGTTATTGTATCGGACCGAATTTTCAAATATTTGCAGGCCCTTGTGGCTTCCAGTAAATTATCTGTCAGGGTTTTTTTAGACTGGAACCTTTCCCATAATTTTTTAATTTTTAACATTCAGGAATCCATGATCCATCATGTTACGATAACTTAGTTTCACTACCTGGTATTTCAGCGCTTTGTGTGTAGGAATGTCAACAACAGTCTTTAACAAATAAAAACTTCTCTGTGTGCCATAGGCTTCGCTAATTGATATGGTAGAAACCGTGTGAAACTGTGTACAATGTAGTCTATTTTGTTTTCATTGGCTTGACTTTAACAAAATGGGCCTGCACATTTCATTCAGGGCCTGTAGATTTTACAGCCTGCACTCGGCAGCAGGACTTGATGGCCAACTGGCAAATTAAAGTATTGCAAACACTGCCGGGGTACCCATTTTCCGCTGGGTGAATAGAGGCAATTTTGAACAAACTCACTTGCTTAAGGTCTCAGGTGCTTTGCTGTGGGGCAGGAAAGTCAGAAGTCATGCTGCCAAACACGGTCACCCATCCATGTCTCTTTGCACTCAACGTTGCTTAACTTCAACTGAATTGTGACCTGAGCTCTAAGCACAGGACCACACACCAGCACACATAGTTCTGTGAATACCAGTAAATGTGTACTGATGCTGTGCATATATTAGCATATATTACTGTGAGCATGTATGAGTGTGCAAACATGCCTGTGACAAAATGCATGTGTGTATGATACAGGGATTTACCTGGGGTCCTGTATTTGAGGGTCCCTGGGACTGATACTCTTAATTTTCAGGGGGTTCTGGACTACATAATGAGGGTCACAGACACTTAAATATTATTAGTAATACTGTCATTGTATTGTGTATCATGATCATCACATTGTTACAGTAATGAAATCGCAAATGATACCATAACCCAGCTAGTAGCAAACTCAGTAATAACTTATTGTTACTAGACTGGTATTTTTACAAAAAGTATTTAGACTTTTTCTGCGTCCATGTGAATAAATTTCGCAATGTCCATTGTCAATTTTTATGAGTATAGGAAGCAGGCACATCACAATGAAGCAACCAGGAACACAGATATCTATGTGTTCCTGGTTGCTTCATTGTGATGTGCCTGCATCCTTGGGACCAGGGCGGTATTTTAGCACTAAAATATATTGGTGTGAATATATGCAGTAGGGTTGCAACGAATACTGACTGACTGACTGAATGAGTTTGGGTTTTACGCCGCTTTTAGCAATATTCCAGCAACATCACGGCGGGGGACACCAGAAATGGGCTTCACACAGTGTGCCCATGTGGGGATTCGAACCCGGGTCTTCCGCGTGATGCAACGAATACACTATGTGGTGAATATGATATGTATCATGAATATTGGGTAACGAATACGAATAATTATTCACGAATACAGTATTTTAGTTAAGTGATTGATTTACAATATGAACGCCCATGTTGACAGTTTTGATTTGTCACAGCAATAACCAGTCATCTCATGACACTCAAATTTGGTATGTAATAGTTATAGTTGACAGTACCATGTGTGGCCTTGGCAAACTAACATGATTGCTACTGCATTGCTAGTACATATTCAATCCTTGCATATCTCACTTTCCAAAAGTACACAAGGGTTCAAGTAAAACATGCTTCCTTAAAATGATTGTAAATATTCGTTAATATTCGGTTCTGGTGACCACGAATAACGAATTGAATTCATGCAGGGCTTCGGTTCGATTCACCGAATATGCGAGTGAATCGTTACAGCCTTAATATGCAGTGCTATATTTTGATTTATTATATAGGTAGTATTTTTCCTGTACCACGATTGGTCAAAAGACCGTCACATGATTGACTACAAAACACGATATTGACTTGAGTTTTCTCGCAAGCTCGGTCGATATTGTTTACTCAGGTCAATAAAAAACGATATCGACCTCTACAAGAGTCTATAATTGTATAATGTACTTAATCATAAAATGGAATTTGTATTTGTCATATTATACTGACGGCTTTCTGCCCAAACATAGAAAATGCATGATAGTACCATTTACTAGTAATGCTTCACTCTGATAAAGTCTGGCACATGGTACACAATTTATGATAAACATAATAATGTAACAATATAAAAAAACTAAAGTCCTAATGTTTTATTGCCCAAAAATGTAAACTTACAACAATTTTTTTGGATTGTTTTTTTACCCATATACACTTCATAAATTGTCAAAACAAAAACCACTTTTAGTATTCAAAACGAATATTACTAGGACTGGTGATTTTTTATTGTTTTTATTTTCCCTCCTGCCTTTAGGTTTTCTGAGGACAAAAATCTGTAAAACATGAAATAAAATTGGTCTGGCCTTACGTGTTTTTATGGTGTCTGACTGACAATAAATCCCATGAACAGCTACAAGAATATGTTACATGATTTCTAGATACTAGTAAGTATTTCTACAATGAAGAATAATGACAATTATTATGGATATGCAACTTCTTTTATTCAGTGGAGGCGACGTTTCGGTTCTAATGTTGTTGTCAAGCAAGTATAAACATCCACCTGGATTCCTATCAGTTGTTTAAGCTCTAATTCAGTCCTTGTATGTCACCCTACTGGCTTCCTATCAATTTACTCAATCTCGCATACAAACGTTGTACATCAACCTCATCTATTGTATAAACATCTCATCCATATCTAATGTAACAACAACTCCTGTATATATTCTCTCAATTTGTTACTCATGTATCACTTGCTTGACAACGACATTAGAACGTATGTCGAGCCTCCACAGAATAACAGAAGTTGTATATCCATAATAGTTGTCATTATTCTTCATCAACTCAACTTCTAAAATACCCATCAAAGAAGTATTTCTACAATGTTTGAAATCAATCACTTCGAACAAAGTCCCTTCTCTTTTTCATAAAATCACTGTGAAGAAACTTGAACCGACATTAGATAGATCTACGATTATTCACTTGCATATTCGGTGATTCGAACCGTAGCCCTTCATGAATTCAATTCGTTATTCGTGGTCACCAGAACCGAATATTAACGAATATTTACAATCATTTTAAGGGAGCATGTTTTACTTATGTCCTTTCCAAAGTGAGATATGCAAGAATGGAACATATTCTTGCATTGCAGTAGTGCAAGTCATGTTAGTTTGCCAAGACTGCACATGATACTGTCGATTATAACTATCACATACCAAATATGAGTATCATGAGATCACTGGTTATTGCTGTGACAAATCAGAACTGTCAACATGGGCGTTCCGTATTGTACATCAATCACTTAACTACAATATTGTATTCGTGAATAATTATTCGTATTCGTTACCCAGTATTCATGATACATATCATATTCACCACATAGTGTATTCGTTGCAGCCCTACTACGTATACAATATATTCAAAGAATGATCTAACTCTAAGTAAGAAAGACACAAGTGCATACACATCAGTTTCACAACATATATAATGGCGAAAGGGGGAATGGATTTCAACATATATTAGTGTTAACCCAAGTCCATAAACTCTCAGTTGACCTGGCGGAAGTGTTGGAGTATTGCATCATTTGTTTATTGACGTGTTCAAGAGCCAAGTGATATCTGTTGACTAGATCAGAGTCGGTTGAAGTTTGTATACAAATCAATGGACGATCAATGCTCGCCACTGAGAAATATATGTATTAAACCATTTCACGTTATGTCATCGATGTAAAATGCTTTCATAGAGTGATTCAGCACAATATACACGCGTGCAGTACTCACTTGTCTTTCGGGAAACTTGCACTGTCAACAAGCTACAAGTTAAAGGACGTGTCGCTCCAATGTGGTGGAACAAAATAGCAAAGATGGACACTCCTCCAGAGCGGCACAATCTGATTGGCTAACCTGGATAATCCCATTTATAAATATATAGGGGTGTTAGGTCAAGCCGTCGTGATAGCGAGAAGGATTGATCTACAGATTTTGCTGTTTTGTGTGATGCATTTCGACGATAAAGTTTTATCGAATATCAAAACAGGGACCAAAACAGCCTTTACAACTGTCTATTGTTTCAGCCTGAATGTAAAGTCGTAAAATGTATGGGAGAGCCTATTGCGCGTTCTGAAGGCAGGCGACCGACGCAGAACAGGAATTTAAGCTGTATATTGATATCTAGGTCGTATGCTTTAAGCACCTGTGTCGTCTGCTCGAAGTCTGCTTCGATTTTAAAACCTTGGATAGCGCGTTTTGATCGACTTGCGATTGCAGCATATTTAGCTGACTCAAGCTGCGGCCCACTGAATCATAGGCGCCCGGCTCTGATATATTTATATGACCCTATATCTTATATATCAGAGCCGGGCGCCTATGCACTGAATGAACCATGATGTTCTGTAAACAGGGTTGCAGCCAATCAATGACCGATAAAATGAGAGCCCCAAACAAACCGCAAAAGATGTTTTTTCTCAATATCAGACACGTTTCCGACATGACATCTAAAAAGTCTGGAAACATTCAGTTCAAGGAACATGTTCAAAAGAGACTGCCTAAAACCCGGACCGGGGCGGGTTTGGTCAGTGGGTAATGCTAAAAACGGATTGCAGAATGTTAAAACGAAAGTTGCGGAGCTGTTTAAATACACTTCCAGCATGACCAAATGTATATGATTGAATCAAAATGTATATTTAACAATGAAATAAAAGTAAACTATGACCACTTAGGTTTTCCTTGACCCAGCCTATATGGTTCATCGATCACTTACTTGATAACGGCCGACCGGTACGTGTACAAATACGTGGGGAATCGAACCCGGGTCATCGGTGTGGCGAACACTTTAATCACAAGGCTACCCCACCTCCCTTTACTGTTATTAGAGTGAGTGAGTTAAGATTTAACGTCACATCGGCAATATTTCAGCCATATCGTGACGAGAACATTTGATATTGAAAAAGAATATATATATATATAGATATTATAAAAAACCTGCCGCCAAAGGACAGTAAAGCAACTAGAGTATCACAGATATATATGTAAAACTAGTAATTGCATCTAAAACATTTTAACTATAGGGGACAACACAATATAAAAATGGGGTATAGATCGCCAACAACTGAAGGTAGATCACCATACTAGGGACCATGGGGACTTACAGTACATTTGCTTCCTGCATGGGCCCTAGCTGGATTTACATCATCCCCTCAGCTGTTAGCAATTGAGATATATCTAGCCATACATTAAAATTACACATATTCTACGATTAAAAAACGGAAAGTTGAAATTTACTTTGAATGTTTTGGGACTTACGTATCCTCTCAGGAGGACAATAATTTTACAGTACTTTAACCCCCCTCGAGGATACAGCCACTAACAATCTATGTTACTAATTCAAACTTCCAATCATAAAATATTTAGCTATTTACAAATCGGTTAACAAATTTAATTCTTTTAAAAAAGCAATAATTAAATGAGGACTTATATTAGTAAAAAGATCCTTCATAGTTCGGGATTTGAAATAGATATCCCTTGTGATGGAGTACTCAACACAGTCAAGCAAGACATGCTTGACCGTGATTCGTTCATCACAAGGGATACAAAACGGAGGATCCTCACCTTTTAATAGGTACTCATGAGTATATCTTGTGTGGCCAATACGACATCGTCGTATGATGACCTCTTCAAATCTGGACTGACAACCCAAGTAAGTGTAACCGATATAGGGTTTTATTGCATGCAATTTATTGATACCTACTTGGGTGTCCCACTTCTTTTGCATTAGATCGCGGATGTATGTTCTAATGCTGGCTTTATAATCAGAGTATGGGATAAGAAGTGGTGTCACAGATTTGTTGAGGGCTGCCTTAGCAGCAATATCAGCCATCGTATTCCCAGAAATGCCAACGTGGCTGGGTAACCAACAAAAGACGATGTCGCATTGGCCAGTAGCAAGTTCATTGTACAATTCAATAATTTCTAATAAAAGTGGATGTTTGCAAGAAAGATTTTTAATAGCCTGAAGACACGAAAGAGAATCTGAAAAGATGATATATTGTTTATATTTACGGTGTTTATTAATATATTTAAGAGCTGTTAAGATGGCATTTGCTTCTGCTGTAAATATAGAGCTGTTATCCGGTATTCTAGAAGATATTGTTCGGGATCCAATGACAGTGGCACATGCCACCGCGCCACCATCCTTGGACCCATCTGTAAATAAGGATTTGTATGTATTATATTTATTTCTTAATTGACTAAATTCTTGTTTATACTGTAATTCATTTGTTTCTGATTTTTTAAATGTAGTTAATGTTAGGTCAACGTGTGGCCTAATCAATTGCCAAGGCGGAGAAGAAAGAAAACGGGAAGGAGCTATATGTTCTAGCTCAATGCCAGCAGCAGAAAGGAAAGGTTTCACTCTTATACCAAGAGGCGGAACAAGAGAAGGCTTCTTGCTATACAGATCTTCATAGAGTGGATTAAAGACACAGTTATATGCAGGGTTTGACTCATTGGAATAAAGTTTTGTAATATACTGTAAAGTTAATTTTATACGGCGTTGTGTAAGAGATGGCTCATCAGCCTCGACATAGAGACTGTCAACAGGAGAAGTTCGAAAGGACCCAAGACAAAGTCTCAGACCTTGGTGGTGGATAGAATCTAATAGTTTTAAGTTGCTTTTACAGGCTCCACCATATACGATGGAGCCATAATCAAGCTTCGAGCGGACAAGTGATCTATACAGGTGTAGGAGGGTAGTTTGGTCCCCTCCCCACTTTGAATTAGAAACGACTTTCAATAAATCGAGTGCCTTCAGGCATTTAGTTTTTAGGGATTTGATATGCGGAAGGAAAGTCAAATGGGAGTCGAAAATTAGACCCAAGAACTTGGCCTCCTTGACAACCTTAATGGGAATACCATTTAAAAATAGTTCTGGGTCCTTATGAGGCTTATATTTCCTACAAAAGTGTATACAATTAGTTTTTGACTTAGAAAATTTAAAGCCATTTTCAAGACACCATTTATTTATTTTATTTAAACACAACTGCAGTTGTCGTTCAATAGTGTGCATATTTTTACCGCGACAAGAGATATTAAAATCATCCACAAATAATGATCCATCAATTGAATCATTTAAAACTTTTGATAAACTATTTATCTTTATACTAAACAATGTGACAGACAAAATACTGCCTTGCGGCACACCCTGATCCTGATTATAATGGTCAGACAGGGTTGAACCCACTCGGACTTGAAATTGCCTGTCTTTTAAAAACTGTGATATAAAAAGAGGCAAACGACCTCTCAAACCAAAATCATGTAAATCCTTCAAAATGCCATGCTTCCAGGTCGTATCATAAGCTTTCTCAAGATCAAAGAAAATTGATACTGCATGTTGTTTATTTACTATAGCATTTTTAACAAAGGATTCTAGTCGTACCAGATGATCAATGGTACTACGGTTTTTCCTGAAACCACATTGAATATTAGTTATAAGGTTATTGGTTTCAAGATACCACGTCAGTCTATTATTTACCATTCGTTCCATGGTTTTACAGACACAACTCGTTAAAGAGATTGGTCTGTAATTTGATGGATCAGTATGATCCCGGCCGGGTTTTGGAATGGGGACGACAATGGCATTACGCCATGAAGTTGGGAAATTCCCTGAAGTCCATATTGAATCAAAACTATTTAGCAATGTTTCCAAACATGGTTCGGGCAAATGCTTCAGGAGCTGATAGTGGATATCGTCTGCCCCTGTTGCTGTATCATGAGCTTGCTCAAGGGCGGTATGTAGTTCATGTAGTGAAAATAATTCATTATAATCTTCACCATTGTCTGAGTTAAAATGTAACCTGGTCTTCTCCTGTTGTTTCTGAAAGTTTTGAAACTCAGGGACATAATTGGATGAAGATGAGTGCTTGGCGAGAGTTTCACCAAGTTTATTGGCAATGTCAGTTTTATCAGTTAATAAATTATCACCATCCTTCAGATGGTGAACAGTAGATTTAGAACCTTTGCCCTTTATTCTCTGAATCATGTTCCACACCTTTGACATAGGTGTGCGTGAATTAATTTTAGAAACATATTTCCTCCAAGACTGACGCTTATTCTGTTTAAACGTACGTCGAGCCTTGGCATTTAACATTTTAACTTTATTTAAATTATGGACAGTAGGATGTCGCCGAAAATATTTTTCAGCTTTCTTCCTGCTCTTTCTGGCCTGTTTACATTCATTATCAAACCATGGCTTACGAATATGTGGAACTGCAGAGGACTTAGGTATAGTTTGGTCAGCAATGTCATTGAGTAAATCGGAGAACAACTGTATCGGATCTTCACTGGTCGCAAATACATCATGTTTTAAGTGATCAGCACACAATGTCTCATACAATGACCAATCAGCCCTGGCAAAGTTCCTTCTCGATAAAGGAGGATCATCACCAGGGCCGATTGTTTTGAGAATGGTGGGGAAGTGATCACTCCCACATAGGTCATCATGGACCATCCATTCAAATTCATTATACAAGATGGAGTCAGCAAGTGACAAATCGAGGGAAGAATATGTTCCCGTAGCTGGATGTAAATATGTGCTTGTATCGTCGTTAAATATACATAGGTTATTATCTGAAATGAATTCTTCAAGGAGTTTACCTTTATTATTTGTATGGGTACTTCCCCAAAGCGGGTTGTGTCCATTAAGATCGCCCATGAGTAGACACGGCTTCGGAAGTTGATCATACAGGTTTTGAAGATCAGACTGTTGAATAGTGGAAGAAGGAGGTATATACAAACTACACAGTGTCAACGCAATGTGTAAAGTCAGACGAACCGCTACAGCCTGAAGATTGGTATTAAGAGGGACAGAGCTATGGATA